AAGAAAAAACGAGGAAAGTGATGAAAATTCGGGAACAAAAGAGGAACAGGAAGTGGGGTTTGGGATTATGAATGAGGGAGACTGAAGAATGAAAAAAAAATTGTAAGTGGAAAAGAACGAAATAGGAAGTGAAGCTTTTAGAGTGATAAAGAGAAGAAAGAAAAATGGTGGGAAAGACATTAAAAATTGAAGAAAAGGTAGAAAAGAATGAAGAAAAAAAGAGAAGAAAGGCGAAGGAAAAACATTAGAAAACAAAGTGGTGGGAAATATCTGTTAAAAGGATTGAAAACAAATTAAAGAAAAAATAAAAGCGAAAGAAAGAAAATTATCAAGAAAGAAAACACAAAAGAAAGGAACTAAATCTATTTCTCAAAATTCGAAGACCTGTTTAAAATTTGAAGAAAAAACTGGAAGAGAAAGAATTTTTAAAATGCCAGAAAAGGTGGGGGGAGAAAACATAAAAAAAAAAATAACGAACGAAAGAACAAAAAAAGAAAAGAAAAATATTTTTTAAAAGAAAATTGAAAATCTCTTTAAAATTTTAAGAAAAATTGGAAAAGAATTTAACAAAAAACCAGTAAAAGAAAAATAAAAAAAAGTTAAAGAATGAACAAAAGAATAAAAAGAAAAATATTTTTTAAAAGAAAATAGAAAATCTCTTTAAAATTTTAAGAAAAATTGGAAGAGAAGTTTTTAAAAAATACCAGTAAAAGAAAAAAAAAAACAGAAAGAACAAAAGAAAAAAGGAAAACATTTTCAAAAAGGCAAAAAAAATTTTTTTTTTTTAAAAATGTAAAGAAATTGGAAGAAAAGAAAATTACATTATTCGGCCTATTAAGTCCGAATAATGTAAATAATTTACATAATACCTCATCTCAGAAATATAGACAGATACTGAAGAAAAACTAAGAAAAATACCAAAGAAGGAAGATGTACAAAAAAAGGAAAATAAAAATATTTTTGTGAAAAAGATGAAAACTGTTTTCTAACTGAAAAAAAAAAAAAAAAAAAAAAAGTGGGGGATTACTAATTGAAAAATAAGAATTGATGACGATTTATTTGAAAATTCCTAGGAAAGACACCGGATGTGATTGGCAAGAAAGAAGGAAAATAGAAAGAATCATTGTATAACAGTGTTGGATCATAAATTAAACGTTGGGTTACCTTAACAATATCTGGCATTCGAAATAATTACCCAATTACTTTTAATAGGAAAAATAGGCCAACTATGTATAAAATATGCTATACGCCTTTTTTCTGAACGTCAAACTAGACGAAGTTGCATCGGGCTGTCTCTACTCACAAGTCAGGAACTTATCTTTCCTCTCCGGCATCTACAAAATCTTCGCTCTTTATAAAAACCTGGCTCTGCTAGTTGTCCTTTAAGGATCACATACGTGTCAAACGCGGTGCATACTAAATAAATGGAGGAAGTGGAAAGAAACGTATCCAACAACAGGATATTTTTTTAATCATTTCAATTCAAGCAAGGCTATATAATTCCACTAAGACGCCAGAGGTTACTGCGAGTGAAAGAAAATGAGAAAACATTAGAAGAAAAGAATAACAAAGAACAGGATTTAGAAAGACAGATAGATTTGCCTACTGTCCGGTTCACACTCCTCCCCAGTGTTCTGAACAGGAGTAGAGGTTCATCTCTTCTTTACTCTTTAGGACTGCGTTTCCGGTCGATTCTAAAGTCTACTTTAACTCTACATTCCAAACGTCTCCGCCTGAACTCTGAAATTTTTTTCGCTAATTAAATCTTGGCCTCTGTATTTCATGTTATATTTCCTTTTGTTACACTAATACAACACCACGCTGTAGTCCTCTATCTTGACTGGCTCTTGGGCCTTGTATTGTGTGAACACTAGTAAAAAAGAAAAGGGCATACACCCGCGGCCCTCTGTCAATCTTTCACCGACTAGACAGCTTCAGATTGGGTTTCAATTTGGGTTTGCGACGAATCCCGATTCCGATATATTTGTTTCTTTATTCATGTATTCACGGTCTGGGGTTAGGTAAGTGTCAGTTAGAAATTCCCCACCTTCCGGCTGAATTGCACTTGACCCCAAATGTTTTCATTTTTTTAATTATTTACTTCTACCCTACCAGCTGGTTGTCGCTTTGAAGTCACCACATCTAGACTTTACTGTTGGTCATAAACCACCGGACACTCATCCTCATTCCTTTCATATTTCATTGGTAAGTTCTACTTCTTCCCTAGAACTTTTGCAATGTGGAACGGCCTCCCAAGTTGATGCTTCCTCGATCACTATAATCATAACCTCTTCAAGTCGAGGGTCAACCGTTACCTATCCTGCATATCCTCATAAAATGCAACTCTTGCTCCATCCTCATACGTCCTTATAGCATCCTCATTCAGTAGCCCTCTACCTTGAGTGGCACTTAAGCCTTACACTGGGTGAAGTATAGTAAAAAAAATACTTATATAGTCATATAGCATTACCTGGAATATATTGTAATTTATAGTCTTCCTTTCATTTTATTTCCGTTTTCATTTAATAGTAGTAATAGACATAATAGTTTTAATTTGTCGGAATCTGTTAGAAGAAACATTGTCATTATTAATTTTGACTTTTTAGCTTTTCATCTTATTCTTGTTACTTGTTGATACCTACTAATAGTAGTAGATGTAATAGTCTTAAGAGGGGATCTTCATTTCTTAAATGTAGTTTTTCATTGTTAATTCCATCCTGGATATGACAATAAACTACATCCGCGACCTGGGTAAGACGATAAACTACGTCCAACAGCAAGGCCTCTGATCAGGAGGTTTTGAGGAGCGTAGAACCACCTCTTAATCCTGTCCGGAGGTGGTAGCACCTGTTTGGGTCCCAACTATGGGTAAATAGTTAACCCCCAAACTGGCGTTAAAACACTATGTAAGTGTAAAAATAGATGGATAAATTATATGCAAAACAATTTAGTCTATATGCACAACAAAATTTAGTGCATGGTGTAGTTTAAATGTAATCTTTTTAAAAACTCTTTGTATATTCATTTTTATTATGATTTTCTTCTGAATGAAACAAAATTCAAATATTTAAATTCAGGAAAATAATTTTGAAAAATTATTTAAAAAATAAAAATGAAAATTCAAAAAAAGTAATGAAAGCATTTCCTTCAACTATATAAATATGTTTAGTGCCAACTTCAAATATTATGTTTAAAAGATTCACATTTATCTTATGACTTTTTGGAGAATGAAAAAAATCAAATGTTTTTTGTTTTTTTTTTTTTTTTTTGTTTTAATGAAAATAATTTACCAAAATAAAGTTAAAAGAAACACAAACAGAAAGAATTTAACTCCATTTGTTAAGTGCCATCTACAAATTTTCTATGAACTGTTGATTATCATACATGAGGCAATGTTTACCGCTTTTTAAAAACAATCTATCTGTACAAAAAGTAATATCTGCAAAATATATTTAAATTATTTTTTTTAATAAATAAAAACAATTTTATTGAATAGTTTAAGAAGTTACTTATCAGCAGTTTAGACGTCATGGAGCATTAGGATAATTGTCTTTAATTATAATCTTTCTCGAAAATCTTGTACATACATCAGAAAAAACTTTAAATTTGACAGGGTCATATTTTCTAAAGTAGACATAAAACCGCCACAGATTTTTTTGGTGAACTTGAGCAGGGATTGTAAATGTTAGGCAAAAAATATTATGAAAATTGAAGAGGAAGTATTTTCAGTAAACTGATCGTAAGCTACATAGGTGAAAAGTTGTTGATTTTGGGGTCATGTATTTGGGTGAGTAAAATAAAATTTTCTATCAAGTGTAGGCTTAAAATAGTTAAATATTTGGATTCTACACTTCTTATTTGCCCTATATACCAAACTTCAGAAATATTGAAGGTATGGAAGTATTTTTCTTTAATTTTTAAATAACACTGAGATTCGGTGACGTTGCGCGGCCTTAATTTAGAGGTAAAATAGGAAAATTATACCCCCCCCCACTTAAAATTGTAACGGTAAAGTCTACCACAAAATAATTTGGCACACTTTCCTAACTCATAAAGAAGAACATTTGTGCCAAATTTCAAGTAATTCAATGTCGGTGGGTGTGATGCCCTGGTAAATTGACATGGAATGACCCGTAAATTCTTTTTTTTTAATATTAATACCGACCGAATTTTATTGTGAGCATTAATGGAAATGGTAACAGTAATGTCAACTGTTTCCTTATGAGGAAACATTTGACATTCATTGACCCAGCGGTCAACACTGAGAACCGGACGACAGGTGAAACTATCTACTCCTATGGTTGAAAGAAATAAATACATCGTAAAAATGTCATATTTTAGGCTGAGACGTTAAAAGCATCCAGTTGAATTTGAAGGAACCGGAAACGCAATCCTAAACAGAAAACAAGGAGTAAACCTCTACTTCTGTTCAAAAGACCAGGGAGGAGTGTGATCTGGGCGATAGATGAAGTTATCTAAGCCTATGATTTATGCATTTATCTATTTGTTTGTTTATTGCCCGTTTGATCTGCTCGTGACATCCCGTCATGAATCCTTCCTATGTTATCAATGATTCCATAATCTCGGATAACGTTAATTGTTGGCAACTGCCGAACCAAACGCAAACCAACGCAAGTGAAAAATGCGAAGGTCGTTTGAAAGTTTAACATATCATACAAGAGACTAAACGTTAAACCGAAAGCTTCTCGATGTGTGGGGTCTGGACTCTCCGAGAGATAAGACATGAAGACATCAAGGATTATGGTTTTTCTACATGACTAACTAAAGAAACCTTCAACTTATTGTGGTAGAGATTAGCTTCACCTACCCAGGCGGGGTTAGAAAGGAAACGCCCTATCACACCTTCTTTATCCCACTTTCAGCAACCAATCTGAAGGATTTATTTGTGCTCCGTTCTAACAAACTTATTACCTCGTTGGCATTACGGACCCCATCTTCTAGCACCAGACTCCTTCACCCCACCCGGATACCACATCGTCATGTTTCTTTTTTTTTCTCTCTCTTTTTACTCTCTCCTTACTTTTAACTGCCTGATGAAGATATGTAATGAAGTAAGGGTGCCGATGAAATGCCACCTGGTGCGCACCAGTGACAACACCAGATCCTTCCTATATAGCATAACGTTTTATTCAAACGCCTGGCTTCGACAGTTACTGCCTACCTGTGTGTCTAATGCGGCCCACGGTTCATGGACCGTACACTCTCGTCTACGATGTTGCAGAAACTGCCCGACTCCTCCATAGTGTTCTTTCCATGCTTTCAAAACCGGTTACAACTGTGATTTGGCGTGATTCTGCATTTGGAATCATACATGAATCTGGCTCCGTTGGACTGGTGTGAAATTGAGTGCAAAGCCAATTTCGGCATGACACTACAGCAGTGGTTCTCAAACTTTTTGAAGTCGGGGCGTACTTGAAGTCCTACCAATAATTTTAGGCGCCCTATATACAAATTTCGGAAAAATATGTTATAATGAAGTCAAATATTGCAGAAAGAAAATAATGCAATAAAAGAAATATAAAATGAAACATACCTTAAGTTTATTCATTCTTGTGTTTAGAATAGAATAATTTATCCTGATTGACGTGTTTACGATAAAGTAACTAATTCATCACATTTGCTTATAAACAAATAAGTGATGAATTATAAATGATAAATTACTATGAAAGTATAAATAAGACAACTTTTAAATAAACAATCCTAAGCCTCGTTATCATTTTCTGTTACATAATATATCTTTTATTAATCAACTTTCTCGAACTAGACATGGAGGACCGAAGAGCAACTCCTACCAGTTCAATATAGCAAAACAAAAGCTTCTTATCACTGAAGCTTTCCTCGAGTGCTATCCGTAAAGAGACGGGTACTGTAATATAATAAAGTATATTTATTTCTTATATTTGGACATATATTTCTTTGGAATGCCAGGGCGCAACTAGACATCTTCCAGGGCGCACCGGTGCGCCCGGGCGCACGATTTGAGAACCACTTAACTACAGATATGTTGTGTCCAGAATTTCGCCAAAGCTTTGGTTGTTTTGCGATCGTCTTATTTGTCCCAGTGTCGTAACGTGTATTGCCGGCGCCCGGCGTAAAATAAGTGTTACGACCCCCTCCCCCAACATACGCAGTTAACCCTAACTGTTCCCTCACCCCAGTAACGCAATCCTCCTATGCATATGAATTTTAAAGAAAACACTGGTTGGACTAAAATAATATTCAAATTTATTTAACACTTTGACCGCCAGAGGTCACTTACGAAATCTGATTTCAAACTCCAAAATGGCCAACCCAGGCAATAAACTTTTTTTTTATGAAGCTGATTTATAGCTTCAATTGAAGTCTTAACATTGTTTCCACGCTGGACGTATCGCTTCTACTAAACTTGTTACTGACGCCCGCAACTGAAAATCTAGAAGAAAATGCCAAACACGAGATAACTCGTGGTCGGCGTAATAATAATAATAATAATAATAAATCTGACAGTGACGAGTTATCTCGTCGTCGTAAGTCAGTGTTTTCAGGTCGTGCTAGGAGAGTAAAATTCGTCAAATCACCGTACTCCTATCGGTACTCACTGGCAACAGCATACTGAAACTCTGTTTTCTAACACTGAAATGGCGGGAACATTATTTGGTGACACCATTTCAGTCGATCGTAATTTTGTTATACAGAGGGTGCCCATAAAGTTCGTGTGCACTTTAAGAAATTATAATTTTATTTGTATTTGCGATAGAAATAATTTGTAAAAAAGGATTAGAAAGAAGTAAATCTATATTTTTTTAAAGTTTTATTGAAATTTTATTTAAGTTTCCACATGTCCTCCATCATTAGCAATACAAAGGGTCGTAATGCGATTTTGCAGTTCACGGAAAAATTTGCCACCTGATTTACAGTAATGCCTGAAATCACATTAGTTATTTTAGCTATACTTAAAACTAGGTACATTAAACTTTATAACATTTTTTAAAGATTATTTCTGTCGCAAATACAAATAGTTATAATTTTTTTAAAGTGCACACGAACTTTATGGACACCCTGTATAAGGCACAAACTCTCTCCCCGCAAATCTGATCTCAACACCTGCTTGCGTTCTATACACCGAAGATGTACATGATATACATATATAGCTACATAGGCCATGTGGTAATTATGTGATAATGTCTCGACGTAGTTTCGTTCATTTTAATGTTTGATTCGTAACAATGTCATGGATTTCAAGCTCTTGACCAATCAGAGTGCCTAATGTAATTAAGACTGGAAATATTTTGCTATGATTCCTGCAGCACGAAGGAAAAACCGATGGTATCTGTCTATATTTCTGAGATGAGGTATTATGTACACTATTTACATTATTCGGACTATTGTCCTCATCTTTGTCGCCATATTTATTACAACACCGAACTTTCAGTATCTGTCTATATTTCTGAGATGAGTTATTATGTACACTATTTACATTATTCGGACTATTGTCCTCGTCTTTGTCGCCATATTTATTAAAACGTTTCGGCCGTTGTACGCTCCGGCCTTCTTCAGGTGGTTAGAATGTCGAACTGAACCCTTTATTTCGCTCACTGGGATGGACTGTTCTAGTTCCACGTGCCATGTTTAATGGATGTCAGTTATCAGTTATCTCCTGTTAATTTTTCCACTTCCCCAAGTGTTACGATATGGGAACCAGTAATAAGAAGTGCCAGAGAAAAGCGATAATAACTACAAAAAAATTGCAATATGAGCTCTGGTAAAAACATCTAATGATAACAACAAAAATTGCAATATGAGCACTTGTAAAAAATAGTTGCTGAAAACAGGTTTATAATACTCAGAAATTCATACACTGACTTCTTCAAGGACACATGGCACAGTGGTTAAAGGTGTTAGTTAGATCCAGTGACAGGAATCAAAAAGTGTGAGCTCAATACCCAGTTAAGGCAGTGGAGAATTATCAGGAGATAACTGATAACTGAAAACCATTAAACATGGCACGTGGAACTAGAACAATGTACGAAAGTGAGCGAAATAAAGGGTTCAGTT